AAAAAAATAAAATAAAAAAGAAGAAGGTAGCAACCAGTACATATTTAATCCTTATTAGAACTATGCTGGCTATTGGTCAGCCTTGCAGACTAAAAGTGAACATTCTTCTGCTTCTGTCCCTCATCAGCATGAGGCTGGCCAACACCAACTAGAGGAAAGAGCAGCTGGGAGGAACCTAAATTGGGACTGAGATTGGGGCCTCAGGAAAAGGCCACTAAAGTGCGGCCAACAAGGGTCTGGAGTCAATGAGAAAGTTACAACCAGAATTGAGAGTCCAAAAATATTAAGGTCAATAGCTTTTTTCCCAAGGTACCAAGATGATTGAATGGGATTGGTCTTTTCAACAAAGGATGCTGGGATAATTGTATTTCTATTTGCAGAAAAATAAATTAAGACCTTTAACTCTAAACATATACAAAAATTCACTCAAGATAGATCCCAGACCTAAATATAAGGGAGAGAGGCAAATGGGAGGTAATGTTCATAAACCAAATAAGTTAGCCAGAGAGTTCGTGAGACAAGACAGTAATGGATGAGCCATAAAAGGTGATAAATTGGACTTGGTTAAAATTAAAAACATTTGTACTTTTTTTTTTCTTTTAAACATTTGTATTTTCTAAGCACAACATTTAAGAAGAGTAGAGCCAGGAATTGGGAGAAAATATCTCCACATTGTACATCTGATAAAGGACTTATATTCAGAATATATTAAGAATTGCCAAAACTCAACAATACCAAAACAACCATCCAGTTACTTTTGGGGGTCATGAAAATTCAAAAAAATTTGGATAGTGGTGATAGTGACATAAGAGCCTGGAGCTGCTTCAAATTCTGTGTCTCCCTCTCTCTCTCTGCCCATCCCCCACTCATGCTCTGTCTCTGTCTCTGTGTCAAAAATAAATAAACATTAAAAAAAAAATTTTTTTAATTTAATGAAATAGCTCTCATGGAGAAGGAGAATTTACGAAAATGGTTGCTTGTGTCAAACCTGGAAGGAAATACCTGAGGAGACTTTTGCCATAAAATAAAAATCCTGGGGCACCTGGGTAGCTCAGTGGGTTAAGCATCTCAGGTCAGGTCTTGATCTCAGGGTCATGAGTTCAAGTCTGCTTTTAAGTGTGAAGTCTACTTAAAAAGAAAAAAAGATAAAAATACTATCTTTATTCAGGGACACAGCACTTGATCATGGCGAACTACTCTGATTTTTGCAGGGACAGTGAGGAGAGGGGATGCAGGAGACAAATTTTGACTCGAATTTTTGTTTGGAATCTTGAGAAGGGACTCAAAAGACTGAAAGGAAATACTTCCCCCATCCAGAAGGTTGAGCCTCATGGGGCACCTGGGTGGCTCAGTCCGCTGAGCATCGCTCAGGTCATGACCTCATGGTTCCTGTGTTGGAGCCTAGCATCAGCTCGCAGCTATCAGCACAGAGCCCGCTTGGGATCCCCTGTCTCCCCCTTTCTCTGCCTCTCTCCCACTTGCACTCTCTCTCTC